GTTGTCCACGCCCCTTCAGGAAGGAGACTCTCTCTGCAGCTGTGATTGATAGAGCTGTGACAAACGTGAATGAGTGTGAGACCAGGACTTTCTGTCACTTGTATCTTTCTCTCGGGACAATCATTTTGCATGGACATATCCTCAAATTTATAGGAGAGCAGTTGTTTTTAACTCATGTGTTGTCAAGTTTGAAAGGTGACATTACAGCTATAAAATCATTCTTGGTTTCAGACTGGGCAAGTTTCCAGCATTGCTGACTATCTCTAAGCACTACAATCTCTGCAGAGCTCTGATCTGGGAGATACTGTCAAAGCTCATGGTAATGTTAACAACATTAGCAATGTGTGCTAACGCTGAGGATTTTTCTGTTATTGTGGTGAAATTGCTTAAAAAATTAAACTAATTCACTGCATCTTCAGTTCCTCAGATGCTGGGAGTGCATGAAGACTGTTGTGTTCACTCTTGCAGCCAATAGCAGAACATGTGGCGTGTTTTGCTTGTGGTTGAGACATTTTAGTAGAAACAGACACAGAAAGTAAACAAAACCGGCGGCCTGTGAGGCAGCAGCGTAGCAGCTTAGTAAAACTCTTACTGGCTTGTAAAGCTGGGAGGCTACCTAGTTGAGAAATAGTGGAAGTAAACATCTTCGTATCTTAACAGCTTTTATTTTACACCTCCAAGTTTATAAATGCTTTGTACTGGAACAGATCTGAACATCCTTCAAGGGGAAGGAGAACAGAGAGGATGAGACGCAGTCGTGGAAGGGAGGAGAGTTGCTGTCAGTTGTGCATGGCTGCCTTTTTCCATGTAAAAACGCCTGTTTCAGCTCCTCTGCCTCTCCGTTATCCTCACCTGATCACTGTTGCCTCTCTCCTATCGCGCTCTCTCTTTGCCTCTATGTTTCTCATCAGCTCTTCCTCTCTCTGAACCACTCTGCCACACTCCACAGGCTTCGGCAAACGGCTCCCCTGTCATATTATCTCCCTCTCTTTCACACGCACATAAAGAAGGCGACAAACGGCCGAGAAGGAAGGATGCAAGCGTTTTAAAAATATGGTGTTTACATAAAGAGGGCTATATGCACAGCATGTGTTAGTGTATGTGCAGAATCACAAACCAAGGCAACTCTGGGGCTGAGAGAGGCCACTGCAGGGGACGCAAGTTCAAGATTGCAGAGAGGGAGAAAAGATTGTACCTTTCGCTGCTGCATTTGATCATTGTTATGGTAAGATACATTAACCAAGCAACATTAGAAAATATCTATATATAGCTATCTATCACTGATATATTCTCAGCTCCATCAGCTGAGACCGAAATGTGCCTTTGATTATTCAAGTATCAAAACATAAGCAATGCCAGATGTGAGACAACAGCTTCAAAGTGATTAGATTGGTTCTTTATGAGGCACATGAGAGGAATAAACTCTTCGACTCACTTTGTTTTATACAGTTTTTCTTTATCACCACAGTAATCTAAGTCTCCTGTCCCTCTAAAATGTAGAGACCCTATTTGTGTGTATGCTATACAAATTGGCTGCTGTTGTTGTTGTGTGTATGTGTGGTCGGGGCGTCTTACACACATGGACGCAAACTGTGATCCGGTCTTGAAGCTCGTGCCAAATACCAAGCCAATAAAGTGTGTTGAAATTAATTAGAGGAGATTTTTACTCATTGGTTGTTGACATTGTTTCCGACATTGTAGGAATATTATATGAGCTGGTGTTTTGTTTCACAGCAGATTTTTCAGCCGCAGCTAATCTTCTCAATATCTGACTGATGAAATGTTGACTGGTCTCTGGAAATGTAAATCTATTATCTGGTTTTGCAATAAACAAAGGCGCCTCCGAGGAGGAACACGACCACCCCTGAAATCTCATTGGCCACCCCGGATCCGATAGGTCAGGTTCATGCACTGAATCTCCAATGTTGAAGTTTCATTGAATGCAACTGCAGCATTAATTACTGGTTGGTAAATGCATATCGCAATATATGTCAATAAATATCACGGAGACCACAAAAGTCAGTTTGTGCCTTAAGTTGAGGTGCATCTGAATTTCAAAATGTCAATAGAAGCTGAAGTTTAGTTTGTTGCTTCCAGCTGTTTGTCGTAGTTTTTCCTCTGAGTTTAATACGTATCAGCAGGGTCAGATGAGGATCAGGTCATCTGCAGGATCAGTGCGAACATTCATCCACAAAACAACACAGCAGTAACGTCACCTATCATTGTACTCATAATCCTTGGCTTTTCTTCACCTCAGACAGGAGAACTCTCCCACACAGGCACAGTTTGTCATAGTTACGTCATTAATTACACAGTGAAATCCTGTGTAATCTTGGCTAGATATTATCTTACTGTGAAAGTCTGATTCTGAAGTCAGAATATTTTTTTGTCCCATCAAGCTTTTGTAATACAAAGATTTTGCTGTAACAAGAGTAACAATGAAAATTCATTTTGCGGTGGTGTGACAAATTATCATCACACATGGACAACATTATTCAAATCTAAATCTTAAATTTTGAAATCAAAACCATAGCACCTCATCTCTAACAGCAACAAAACCAAATGTAAATTTAGTTTGCTGTAAATATGGACATCTACATATAACACACACACACACGATTGCAACTTTTGAACATTTACTACGCTTTAGATTTACCATCTCTCATTATTGATGACATTTTCTATTTTTTATTAAATGTTATTTAACGTGTCTTGTTGTTACTGCACAGCCTTGTGGAACAGTCACTTTACAATTTCCTGCATGTGCTGTATGAGCATGGGACACATGAATCCCTTGAATCTAAGTAAACTGAATGTTTTGCTTAGGAGTGAACTTTTTTCCATTAAATACTAAACAGCATCAATTTTTCTGGACTATTTTGAACAATGGTCATCTAAAATGTTACCTGTATTAGTCTATGTGCATCAGTTAATTAGTAACATTAACTGTAAAACAGCAAAACAAAAGTATATCAATGGGGAATTTTTAATTACCCTTTATACTACAAAAGCAGAATTCCTGAATTTAATTTATGGCTTTTTGTGTGCCACCCCTAAGATTGTCAGTGGCCTCATCTTGTCAGCCCTGTCAAAGATTTCTGGTAATACAGTAAGTGAGAAGATTAGCATGTGTCTGCAGAAGAGGAGGCTGCATCTCCGGGACTGCAGGTCAACGACCTTTGTTTTTCATGACATCAGTTGAATTGGATGACTAAGAGAGTAGCAGGTAGCCTATTGAAAAAAGGGAATGCAGTTTTTGGCCAAGATGGACACCAATTATTGTGGAAATACTGAATGTCAATCATGTTTTATTTGTTTAACATTAGTCAGTTGGACGGCGAAGTTATCAGTTATTGGCCAAAGAGGAGTCTGGAAGTGTGTTTAAGTAAACAGATTTAGAGGTTAATTAAAACTACAAACTAAAGTTCTTTTTAATTATAAAACTAAATGTATAATCTTGAAAAGGCCACCTTATCCCAAGACCTGAGGAAGATGCACCTCTGACTGGCTCACCTCATGAGTCAGTCTGAGCAAAACAAACTTGTTATTTATGCATAACAACAACAACAACAACAACAACTAGCCTCTCAAAATTTGATGTTGCTCTAACTTTAACTGCAACATTAACACTACATATCAGATATAAAAATAGTTTTAGATTTATTTCAAAAGTGGTTTGATTATGCAAATAAAGTTGCAATTAGGGGCTTAAGACAGAAGTTTTTATTTTATTATTAATATTTATAATCACAACATAAAATTATGTTTGATAAGCAAAGATGTTTGGCCTACAGGTGGTGGTGCAACTAATATAAAGTCGCATAATTAGTTAAACATAAAGTCAGCTGGTTAGATTTTTAGACAGATAATCACACTTTTCTTTTCTTTTTTGCTGCTGGGAAGTTATGTTACTGTATTAGAGGAAAGCGTACATAATTAATCTGAAAACTAACATTAGGAAAGTTTTCCCTAAAAAGTCTGACACTTACATTTCTACATATCACAGAGAAAGTTGTTGTTTTTGTTGTTCAAATTAATGAATACATCCCCACACGAGTCCCATGTTCACAGTCCAAACAGTTTGCATATGGATGTTGTTCTGATTTAAAAAAACAACAACAACAAACACAGGGGCTTAGTCAAAATGTGACATCAACTTGACTCAAACCTCTATCTTTTCATTTCGTCCAGCCAGTGAAATGATTTCAGTGCTACTTAAAACTGACAGTGTCACTATAATTCAAGAAAAGAGCTGAAATAAAGACTTATTCTACTATTTCATGGGAATAACCCTTTAAAACTATCTGTATTTGGACAGAAAGCACTATGTTTAAGTGGAGTGTGGCCTCCCTTTATTCCGTTCAGTAGGTGGGAATGTCATGAGAAACATAACAAGGGTCCCAGAAGTGTGGTCCTGAAACTGCAGCCACACAACACAGAGTCAGACACAAACCAAAGCTATGTTGTTTACATGAGACAAAGCGCGCTGTATTCTGTTGTGGAGGCGTTTTGGAAGCGCTCTACTTGCATTTCCACAACAACGATAACAACAACAAAATGGCAATAAAAAAAACCAACAAAAAAACTAAACACTAAAGGCCTGTGCCAAGTAACGCGCACTGAGGAGGGCTTCTCCGGCTGGCTCGCCTGTGTTTGCTGTGTGGTCCGCTCAAAGGGTTAAAGCCCAAAGTGAACTGAATTGTAAGAAGTTGGTTTCCAAGGGAAACTGTTCGCACCGTTCCAGCTGAGGCGGGACGAACCAACTGCGTGACACGGAAGGGGTAGGGGTGGGTCGAAGCATTAACGATTTAATTTCGCACTGCGTCGCTTTCGGAATATTTACACACACATTTCCGCGTCGGACCGTCGTGTCAAGACGCCCGTGGCAACGCTGCGTGTCGCTCAATCAGTTTCACACACACGAGGTTGCTGTTATTACTTCCCGCCACCCCTCCGGTACAGCCACAGTGCCGGGGTCCCTGCCAACTCGGTTTGAAAAGAGCAGACAAAGGCTTTGAGCCCAGGACGCCCCTCTCTCTCTCTCACTCTGCCTACAAAGCCAATCTTGCTCTATCTTCGCTGCTTTTTCTACCATGGAGCTGCTGTTTGATAGGCGGCGTTAACAGTCTCGGGTTTTACTTTCTAAATTCTGAAATGTACGATCGTCTGGATCCCCGCTCGGCCGAGAGAGGAAGGCTTTTTGTAGGTATAATACAAGGAAGCGTCGTCTGAGAGAGGGAGAGAGAGGGGGAAGGATTGACGCTTTTTCCTCCTCTCCTCCTCCTTCTTCCTTTTCGCCCCCTCTCCTCCTCTTTTTGGCGGAGAGAGGGGCTGAGGCAGGAATAAACGCTTTTTTTTTTGTTTTTTTTCCTTCCTTTTTCTTTTTTAATACATTTGAATCCTACTGCGCAACCAGACCGGATCACGTGGCATTGGAGAGAGTTGGATCGATTTTGCACAGTTCAGTGTGAGAAAAAAGAGAGAGAAACACACAACTCCTAATTCTTTTTCACTTCTGTGGATAACTGGGACTGTTGATACTTTGGCATAATTGCAAGAGAAGGGGGTGTCTGAGTGGGCTCCTTTTTTTCAGCCTTGGAGGTGGAGGAGTATTAATTCTTATATGCCTGGGTTTTGAAAAACAATGGAGACGCACATTTCGTGCCTCTTCCCGGAAATTTTGGCCATGATTTTCAGCTATCTGGACGTGAGGGACAAAGGCAGGGTAGCCCAAGTGTGTATCGCTTGGAGGGACGCATCCTACCACAAGTCAGTGTGGAGGGGGGTGGAGGCCAAGCTGCACCTCCGCCGGGCCAATCCTTCCTTGTTCCCCAGCCTCCAGGCCAGGGGCATCCGGAGGGTCCAGATCCTGTCTCTGCGCCGCAGCCTGAGCTATGTCATCCAGGGAATGCCTAACATCGAGTCCCTCAATCTGTCCGGCTGCTACAACCTCACGGATAACGGGCTGGGCCATGCATTTGTGCAGGAGATCCCATCACTTAGGGTTTTGAACCTGAGTCTGTGCAAGCAGATCACAGACTCCAGTCTCGGCAGGATCGCCCAGTATCTGAAGAACCTGGAGGTGCTGGAGCTCGGTGGCTGCAGCAACATCACCAACACTGGGCTTCTGTTGATAGCCTGGGGCCTCCACAGGCTCAAGAGCCTCAATCTGAGGTCCTGCAGGCATGTCTCAGATGTGGGGATTGGACATTTGGCGGGTATGACCCGCAGCGCAGCAGAGGGCTGCCTAAACCTAGAGTACCTGACTCTCCAAGACTGTCAGAAACTGACGGACCTGTCACTCAAACACATTTCCAAGGGGCTGACCAAGCTGCGGGTGCTGAACCTGAGCTTCTGTGGGGGGATCTCGGATGCCGGGATGATCCACCTCTCCCACATGGCCTCCCTGTGGAGCCTCAACCTGCGCTCCTGTGACAACATCAGCGACACGGGGACCATGCACCTCGCCATGGGCACCCTGAGGCTCTCTGGGCTTGACGTTTCCTTCTGTGACAAGATCGGGGACCAGACCCTGGCGTACATCGCTCAGGGGCTGTACCAGCTCAAGTCGCTGTCCCTGTGCTCGTGCCACATCTCCGACGACGGGATCAACCGGATGGTGAGGCAGATGCACGAGCTGAGGACCCTGAACATTGGACAGTGTGTGCGCATCACGGACAAAGGGCTGGAGCTCATAGCGGACCACCTGACCCAGCTGGCGGGCATCGACCTGTATGGATGTACCAAGATCACCAAGAGGGGACTGGAGAGGATCACACAGCTCCCCTGCCTTAAAGTGTTGAACCTGGGACTCTGGCAGATGACAGAGAGTGAGAAAGTGAGGTGATTGGAAATGTTTGGAGGCTTGTGTGAGTGTGTGTGTGTGTGTGTGTTCATTTCTTTTTTGGATGGGGAACATGAGGAGTGGGGGGGAGGAGGTGAATGGGCGGGGAAATTTCTTTTCTTATTTAAAAAGAGAGAAATCCTCCTTTTTTCCCCTCTCCTGTGTAAGGTGTGCTTCTCTCATGTGTCTTATGTTCATTTTGTTTCTGTCGGCCTTGCAGGATTTAAATTAGTGTTTGATATGACTAAATATTCTGCCTGGTAGAAAGCAATTAAAACTTACTTTTGTTACGAGCTCATGAAAAATCCCTGTTAACAGATCTCATATTGAGTTTTAATATCTCATAAAAAAAATGTTCACTTTGGACTGGAATAACTTCCAAAATCCGCTTATTTTCTCTTGACAGAATAATCATTTCCTGACACTTGCTTGCAGTAAAATTCTGGAAGTGTATCCATCCTTTTTCATTTCGAAAGCAAAGAGAGGTTTTAAAAAACTTGAGACATTTATTTTTGCAGTGAGTCTGGATTTGAGACATTTAATCTCCGCTACAGCCATCACGCCTAAAAAACATTTGGCTACCTCGTATGTGGTTATTTTCAAAGGGTGTATACTGTTAAAAAAAAAGAAAAGAAAAAGAAAAAAAAGAAAGAGAAGGAAAGCGAGAATGAGAGACTGGGAGAAAATGTGCCTAAAGGGACTGTGTCTGCCCCCTCCCCCATCTCTCCCCCATCCCTCCCTCCCTCCCCTCTTCCATGAGCAGAGAAAGGAGACCAGGACACAATCTAACTACCTTTGTTAATTTACCCCCATAAACAGCAACAATTTCCCAGAGAGAGAAAGAGAGAGAGAGAGAAAGGGAAAACGAGCTGTAAAAAAAACTGCAAGAGGACGCCGCTTTATGCAAAATACATGTGCAAGAGCTTTTTTTTATTGTTTGTTTCCTTCGTTTTTTTTAGGGATAAACTTTAACACCCTTTAGAGACGCGTTGTTTTTCAAGCTTTGACCAATATAAAGGAGCCCTGGCAGAAATACCTACAGTGATTCTATAATGATAAAAAAAGGGTATGAATAGCAACGTGTATGTCCTTATAGGATTATTAGGTATTTTTTGTAAGGGGGGAAGCAGGTGGAGATAAATATCAGTGAATGTTGCTCAGAGCGTCGTACTTCAAATTGAAGTGATTTCTATATCTTAGCCTTTTATCGATTGAAACGAATCAGGGTTTTGTCTCACGGTTTTTATTTTCCCACGTTAATACCAACACATTCATATTCATGTGGCTCTCACCGGTGTGGAGTATAGAGAGAGAGAGAGAGAGGGAGAGAGAGAGGAGGGCAGGGATGTCTTTTTTTCCTCCTCTTTTTTTTTTTCTTCTTCTTCTCCAGCTTCTCTCTGAATAAAAATACCCCGAATCCATTTTGAGACATGCTTAGAATAAGGAGCAATCGATTATTTTTCTTTCTCTCTCCTCCGTCTCGGGTTACAAGCGGTATGCGTCTCTTTTCTCGCCCTCTCTCTCCCCACCTCTCTCTCTTTTTCTTCCACACAAACACACACACAAACACACACACACATGCATTTAGGCTGTACACACATGCACACGCGTGTGCACGCCGACGCCGGCGTGTGCGCGGTTTTTAATGTAATGCAATGACCTGCTAGAAAAATTAATATACGGATGTGCGTCCTGCTGAAAAAGCTGTGTGTGTTTGAAAATAAAAAAGATGTACTGTATATTATGTGTTTGTAAAGAGAAAAAAAATGCAGAATCCCAAAATTAAATTGTTTTATATTCTTACGGTTAAAACAATTAAAGATATTTATATAATGAATGAAAAGAGAGCTGTGTGGATTACTTCTGTGTAGGTGCACCTCATTGTTGTCACCCTGCTGTTTGTTGTTTTTAACAGGAACTGAAAGATATCCACAATTTAATATTGTTTCCCACAAGACAGAATGGTTCCACAATTAATACATTGCTCCTAATAACCACCCACGCACTGCTGAGCATTGTCCCTGATCAGTCCAGTCTTTCTTCTGAACAGAGCTGGAAAAAAAACATTAAAAAAAAATCTCTTGTGTTGTTTTATTATTTATGAGGAGATTCAAAATGGATGCTTGCCGTCTTGATTTGGCTGCAGTGCCTGTGTAATTAATTATCACCAAGGCGTTTATTATAGGAAACTGTTCTACCCTGCTGATTTTTTTAATCATCAACGTCTGCAAATGCAACCGAAAGGTGTTTCGCTCAACTGGGAGGGAAGTTGAGTTTCGAGATTTTAAAGTCTCGAAGCAGCGACGGGCGGACGGACGGGAGACGGTCTTGGTTTTAGGTGGAAGGATTTCGGTGTTAGTTTTGGTTATTTTTGCAGTGTTTCATTCCACATGTGGCAGAGCTGCGCCTGTGTGGCTCCATGTGCAGGGTAATGAGATCTAAAAGTTGGTTAGAGCAGATTTCCCTCTTTCTGCTTTCCATCAGGACGTGTCCTGTGTGTGAAGTGACACACACACACACACACACACACACACACACTCATACAGAGGGTTGCCAGGCCAGTCAGTAGCCATTGTCTGTCTTTAGAAGTTAGGAAGGCAGGTTTTCGTGGGTTTTTTTTTTTTCTTCTCTTCCTCTCTTTCTCCTCCTCTTGTTCAGTCACGCATACCAGATCCTAGACCAGGCAGGAGACCCCCCTCCCTCCTCTTCTTACTCCCCCCCGAACACCACACACACACACACACACACACACACACACACACACACACACACACACNCACACACACACACACACACACACACACACACACACACACACACACACACTTCTTTTTAGCATTCCACACCATCATTCAAAGCATTTAAGCATTCTCCCTCTCCTGACTCTCTGTCCATGGGGATTTGGGGATAAAGGCCAGCAGAGGGATTGTTGACCACAGGGACAGAGACAGACAGAAAGAAAGACACACACACACACACACACACATACGCACACAGAATGTCAGTGTTTGCTGTTTCTTAAGTTTGCTTTAGCTGGCCTTTGGTCTTGTGCAATAGCGCTGCAACGAGAGCACACTGAGATGTGAAAGATTTGTCTGTGACATTTTGTGCCGCTTTGTCCCAGAAACATCTAAAATCGGCTCAGCAGAAACAGCAAAGAGGCCTATGAACTGCAGTTTATTGCGTGTTTTGCCTGTTTTGTTTTAGAAAATGCGCAAGTTCGTTTGGTGGAGTCGCGCATGCTGCAGCGAGGCAACGAAAGGAAATAGACACAAACTGCCAAAGAGGCTGTAATGCTGATAGATGGCGTACAAAATAGAGGATTGTTTCTTTATCATGTGACATTTCGGCATGCAGACCTTTCCCCGGCACATTCAGGAGACAAGGTCATATCATGCGTTTCTACAGAAAGGTCTGCAGGCTGAAATGTAGCCTGACGAAGATACAATCAGCTGTATTCAAATGATAATGTGATACTCTATTAATCCCCATAGGGAAAATCTCTTTTTGTCCCACTGCCCTCCGCTGGGAGGTCAGAGGTCAGGCTCTGCTCCAGAGCTCCGCTGCTGGAGCTAACCGGGGATCTGGTGTCTTGCTCAAGGACACATCAACAGGGTGCGGGGTTGTCATGTTTGAACATCAGGTCACCTTGCGTCTCGGTGCTCCCTCGCTGTGTTGTTGTGAGTCCTTGGAGGTGGTGCAGGCCACCTGTGAAGCACCAGCTTCAATTTTAAAACACTGAAAGTCTCTTTTTTTTTCTGGATGAAACAATTTCCCTGAACAATCTGTGAGCAGAATACAAACTCGCCCATTATTGTATAAGTTGCAGTCTCAATTTGCATTTTGAATAGAGAGAGCTGAGTGTGAATTAAGCTCTGGAGTTTCGCTGCTGGGTGTTCAGCATTATGTAGTTACAGAGCATGATATATCACTCTATTGTATACACTGCAAGTTCACTTCGAATTGTATGAAAAGAAACCAGGTGCTACAAATCTTTTCATGGACAATATGGGAAACTTGCAAGAAAACTGTCACTGCCGGTCACCAAAAGCTGTTTGAAAATGGCCAAAGTCCTTTTACACAATGTTTAACTACTAGAAGCTGACAAGCACAGAACATGTAGCAAGTTACTTTCATATTTGCTGCTCGTTAGCACTGTTTGACTTCTGTTTTGTAACGGTTGTGCAAATGTACAGTCGGCAAAACCACGTCTCTCTGCAGTTTTAGTTTGGTTTTTGGATGTTCCAAGACAAAAAATAAGTTTGGGATTTACTTTTGCCAAGAGTGCCAGGAGATGCTTAGCTTAGCTTAGCATAGAGAGTGAAAATAAGGGGAAACAGCGCATCCGGCTATGCTACTAAAGGCTTTCTACCTCACAAATTACAAAATCTGATTTGTTTAATCCATATAACTGTTGTCTCCTTTTGTTGTGTGATATTATCTTGGTAATGAACAAAACTCCAGAAAGTGGCTGCAACTGGCCGAGAATTGTAAAGCGCAACCCCTCTTTTAGCTTTAGCTTCCTGTATGCAGATTTTGTAGCATTTAACAGAGCTAGCCAGCCGGTTTCCTTCTGCTTTTAGTCTCTTTGCTAAGTTAAGCTAAGCTAAGCTAAGCGTTTCCAGCTTTAGGCTAAACGAACAGAGCGGCAGTTATCCAGCTGCAGACAACCAAATTAACCCAAATGCCCTTACATGATTAATCTACTCAGGTCAGTTCAGTTATATGAATATCCTGCCAATTCATAGCGTCTACCATCTCAGGGTCTTGAAATGTTACATCATAGACAGAAACCCAACAAAGCCAAACGATTCCTTTCGAGCAACCGAACAGAACCGGGTACAGCCGGAGCAGCCATCTGCCTCCACCGGTCAGGGTGAGGGTAAAGGGGAGAGAGGACAGAATAGCAGACAGAACACAGACAAAGCACAGAAGAACAATGGACACAGGGGAGGTCGGTGAGGCTAATATCCCCACGTCTCACAAAGACACAACTTTACAATGAGCCCGAAAGCTGCTGCTGCTGCTGCGCGTCTCCTTCTCAGCTCCACTTCCCTGAGTCGGCCACATCTGGTAGAGCACAGCGCTGCCACTGC